TTCCGTCGAGTTGATTCCGACTCATAGAGACCCTATAGGACAGAGTAGAACTGCCCCACAGAGTTTCCAAGGAGCAGCTGGTGGATTCGAACTGCGTACCTTTTGGTTAGCAGTCGACCGCTTAACCACTGTGCCACCAGGGCTCCAGCGCCCCTAAATCTTGTTTCCTAGATGTTGGGGGCAGTTTGTGGCCTGGCCAGAGCATTCCGGCTTTAGGATGAGGGAGAAGAGGGCGAGGCTGCAATCGTTGACGTTAGGCCTCGGGAACCCTGACTGGGAATGACTGGGGTGGGAGGATGGGGGAGGGGAGTGCTGGTCCCCATCTCGCCCCAACCCGGCCCCCTGCCCGGCCCGGGCCTTGTGGACCTCCTACTCCGTCAGCCGGTTCGGGCGAGTTTAGTCTCCCAGCCTCGAGGGACTGCTGGGCGGCAGCGGCAGGAAGAGGCCTCCGGGGTCCCCCGCGGGCGGCGGCTGGCCATTACCGTATTTATCCGTCCAGAGCTCTGGAACGCGTCACTACGGCGCGCTACCGTATTTGCTGGGCGCTGCGCAGCTCCTTTCAGGGGGCTGGGAGTGCCGCGAGTTAATTGCGTATTAATCGGGGGTCGTGTGGCTCCCGGGGTGGGTGAGGGGGCGGGGCGCGGGGGAGCGGAAGGTGGACTGCGTTATTTCTCCAAGGCAGCCGGGCCTTGCGGCGGGGTTGGGTGAGTTGCGGCAGCCATATGGGAGGCCCACGGATTTTCGTGGGCGTGGGGTTGCGACGCAGAGTTTACCGTATTTCCTCAGGGTCGCTCCGGCCCCAGGAGTTGGCAAGGTTGTGGGGGCTCAGCTCTTTCGATTAATGCAGTTTTTGATAAGAAGAGCGTTGCGGTTGTCTTGCCGTATGAGGGTGGGGAAGAAAGGATGCGGGACTCGCTGCGGGAGAGTTACCGTATTTGCGCTGGGCAGCCAGACTCTTGAGGAAAAAGCCGCCCCTGGAGACCGGAGAGACGGGGGAGCAGCCTGGGCTGTGAGTGTGGGGCAAGAAGGAGGAACCTGCGGAGGGGCGGGGGCCATGGCCTTGGACTCTTGGCCCAGTGACAGTGTCAAGCAGAGACTTGCCCAGGGGACTATGATGGTCTGCCTTTGCAAATTATCAGTGCAGCTGCCTGGGAAAGACTTGGGGGTAGGGTCTTTTGCAAGTGGCGCAAGTATCTGTTCCACCCTAATCTCTGTCTGAGATCCCACTCTGCAGACACGTTGGCTGAGGCTGTGGTGAGCAGTGAGATCTGGAAGCAAGGGGAAGGCCCGCATGCAGAGTCGGTGGAGCAGGGAGGGGGAGGTGGCAGGGAGTCCAGCCCCCGCTGGTCTCAGCTCCCTGCAGGAGCAGGAGCCCAGGTCTTGGTGGGGGCAGCAGCAGACAGTGCCGCTGTAGGAGCGGGGACCTTTTGGGTATAGCTGGCTCTGCAGAGCTGAGTGTGTGTGAGTGTGTTGTTGTAAGGGGTGTTTAGTGGCTGAGCTCCCGGCAGAGTCCGGAGACCTGGGGTCTATTCCTGGCTCTGGCTGCTGTGTGACCTTGGGCAAGTGTGTTGACTTTGCTGAGACTGCGTTTCCCCATTTGTAAAGCTGGGCTGCTGCGAGGACAATGGGAAGAAATTTAAGAGGAATACAGTGCCCTGGGCAAGAGGGACCCTTAGGAGAACCAGCACAAATGGGGGTGTGATGGAGGCTGGGATGTTGTTGAGCATTGAGTGGGTTGCTCGGTCTTGGGCCAGGCCTGGCTGTGGGAATACAAAGCGGAGTGAAGCTTAGACCCCCCTCCCCCAGCTCCCTTGTTGGCTCAGTGACTCGGAAACCTTTTAAGCTCATGCCTCATTTCGATAAATGAGGAGCTGCTGCGTTTACTGTTTAATTGAAGTCACTTTCAAGTTTAGAGGTCTTTTTGTTTTAAGCTTTGCAAAAGCTTCTTTAAACTAGCTGGCCCTACACTTCCCTCCAGATTTGGGGTGTGCCTCCCCACCCCTCCCTGAGAATCTGGTAGGGGAGGCGCCAGCCTCTGAACGAACCAGTTCGAGTGGGGACAGGCCTGGTCTTTAACTGGCTCCTGGTGGGTGAGACGGAGACGGGTCACAGGGTTGGGCTCCACAGTTTAAAGAAGGGCTAGAGGGGTCAGGGCTCCTTGGAGGAGGTGGCAGTTGAGAAGGGCCTGGAAGGAGGAGGAGGATGTGAGTTAGGGGTAGAGGAGAAAACAGGATATCCTAGCAGGGGAAGGTCGGCTTGAACAAAATCTTAGAGGGGAGAATGCCCCGAACTGCGGGAGGAGAGCAGCCTCCTGGGTCCCTGCCTGACTCCTCTCCCTGCTTCTGCCTCCCCAGGGGCTGCTGAGACGCCGGAAGGTCCCATGACGGAGCCGGTGTCCTCCAGGGGCGGGTCCCCCGCCAGGGCCGTGGAGGAGGCCCTGGGGGACGAGCGCAGGCTGGTCATCCACCAGCCCGGGGAGGAGCCGCCCCACCGCTGCCCGCTGTGCAGGCGGACCTTCCTGCAGCAGCCCGGCCTGGTCCTGCACCAGAAGGCGCACGCGGGTCCGGGCCGCGCCGCCTTCGTGTGCCCCGAGTGCGGCAAGGCCTTTGGCGTCAAGCACAACCTGGAGGTGCACCAGCGCACGCATACGGGCGAGAGGCCCTTCACCTGTCCGGACTGCGGCCGCCGCTTCAGCCTCAAGCAGAACCTGCTCGCGTACCAGCGCATCCACAGCGGCGAGAAGCCGCACGAGTGCGCGCAGTGTGGCCGCCGCTTCCGTGAGCCGCGCTTCCTGCTCAGCCACGCGCGCACCCACGCGCGCGCTCCTCCGCCGCCCCCGCGCCGCCCCGGAGTCTTCGGGGAGCGACGGCCCTTCTGCTGCGCGCGCTGTGGCGAGAGCTTCGCCCGCGAGGGAGCCCTTAAGACGCACCAGCGCGGCCACGGCGCGGACGGCCACGCGGCGCACAGGGGCCGCGCGCTCTGAACGGCCGCGGTGGGGCAGCTCTCCGGCTGCCCTGGGGTAGGGGCGCGTCCGGAAGGGGGAAACCCCGGGCGGCCCCCTACTCCGTACTGAGCCGCCTGGCCGCCGGAGTACGCTGCTTCCGGCTGGGTTTTGGCTTCTTTCTCTAGCTCGCCCAGAGCAGGTGGGCCCCGTTGGCAGCGCCAGAGCCCTTCTTGTTGGATGGGGAGGGGCGGCTGGGGGGTGGGGTGGAGTTGGGGGCTCTGTGGAGAGCTCCTTACTAGCTCTTCTTTCCCAGAACGCCTTTGGGGAGGGCTCGGTGCCTCAGCCCCAGGCCCAGCTTCAGACCCCAGGGTCTACTGGCTCTGTCATTACTACCCCGTGTCCCTGGGCAGCCGTTTAGCTTCATGTTTCTTGGTCATGCTTCTGTTCTCCTCCGCCCTGGGACGCTGTGAGGGCATCGTTGCCATCCTGCAGACCAGGGAGAGCAACGTCACTGTCCAAAAACCTCCCTGGAGCTCTCCTGAGCGCAGGCCGAAAGCTGTGCCCTGCTCTGGGGAGGTGCAGAGGAGGACAGGGTCCTTGTCCCTTGGGGCTCACGCTGGAGTGTGTGTGTGTGGGATGTGGACAGGTGATGCTGACACCCTGGTGATAGGAGCTGTAACAGGGTGAGCAGGGTGGTCTTGGAAGAGCAGGGTGTGGAAGGACAGGTCCAGTTTTGGAGGCTTTTACCTCACAAAGGTCCCACGTGAGGAAGGTGAGCCATGACTGGTACCCAGGACCTCTGACCCCAGGTCGCTGCTCTGAGGCACAGACTTGCTCCAGATTGCACTTGGTACTTAGAGCTACAACAGATGCAAGCCTGGGCCTTGGATTCTGGAGCCTAGGACCCTTTCAGCTCTACCTCCTGCCCTCAAGAGTGACTCCCACTGGTGGGAAAGTGGAGTTGGTGGGTACAGGAATAGGACTGGAGGCCATATGATAGGAGCAAGGATGTCACTCTGCGGTGTGGGTGCCTGAGGGGATGTGGTGTGTCCAGCAGAGGTTCAAAAGGAAGCCTGCAGGCCAGGGGTCCAGAGCCAGTGCTTTGAGAGGTACCCAAGGGTCACCCCTTTCCTCCTGTCCCAGAGGGAGCAGCCTGGCCTTGGCTCTGAATGCCAGTTCCTTCCTTCCCTGCCCTTCCTCAGTGCTGCGAGGTCACGAAGACCTGTCCTTTGTTGCAAAATATAAGAGATTAAACCAGAGCCTGGGAAAGCCCTGTTGACTCATCTGCAAAGTGATTGATTGTCCATGCAGTGCTTGGTAGGAGCTCAGAGGGTTCCATCAACCCAGGGTGAACCAGCTGACTGCCCCATCCTGGTCCCCGACCTGACCCTTCATTTCTCTTTGTTTCTGTGAACAGATATGGAGTGGGCAGGACCTCAGGACCCAGTGGGTTCCAGGCAATTCCAGAGACTGAGAATGGGCCCCATGGGCCTGGCTGGCACTTGGCATGAGGACACTTCCCAGGAAGACCCACCACAGGAAGGTCAGAAGGAGCCAGAGGCGATTCTGTGCCCTGTGGGGTCCCCACTCCTGTGTGGGATGCACAGCCTTGCAGCAACACTGGACAGAGGCAGAGCCTCCTGGACGTGAACTTGAGCTTGAAGTCTTCGTTTTCTTTCAGAGCAAGGCTCTCAGGACCTTTGGGGTCACGAAGCCCTTTGAAAATCTGACAAAGGCGAGAAGCTTCTCCCCAGAGAAACACACAACACACATCTAGATCCCAAATGTACAAGCGATTTCGTGGATGAAGCCCTGTCGTGTCTCTCCTTCCACTCCCCTGTTCAGGAATAAAGAATCTGAGAAGGGAACCCTTTTTACCAGTCCCCTCTCCCCAAGCCAACTGTCAACACGCTGGGTTTTGGGAGCTCGAGTTCCCTCCTGCAGACACTGCTGGAGGTTCCTGAGCTGAGTAGCTCTTCTCTGGCTTTGTGATCCTCCTGCCTGACTGCTCCCTGGCCTGGGCTTCAGTCTCACCGAGAGACGGCGGGGAAACTGGGACGTCTGAGGACACTGTAGGGAGGCAAGAGCTTGGTCTGAGGGAGGAGGGCCCCTGCACTTCCACCAGCCCAGCCCTGACCGGTGCCGCCAGGGTGGGAAGACCATGGGGCCTCTCTCCTGCCTGCGGCGTCCTGGGGAGGGAGGGAGAGGCTGCCAGGGATACCTTCCCTGTGCCCCCAGGGTGCACGTGGCCAACAGCAGGGCCAAGACACCTCCGTCTTCACACCTGAGTGCCTACCTGCCTCCCCATCAGAAGAGGTGTCAGTGCTAGAGTTGGGCCAGGTTTTTGATGACAAACAGATTTCCTAAAGTTGGTTGTACTTATTGAGACCCTTGGAGTGGGAGAGGCCTATGTTAATCGTGGAATCTGCTTTCACATCCCAGTCGGGTGCCGTGTGGGCAGGGAGGAGGTGTGCGTCCGGGTGGTAGATACCATCTGGGCTGGGCTTTTGTAAGGATTGTCTGTGGCTTCCTGCTCTGGGGTGTTTGCTTGTCCTGTTTCTGGTAGGTTCCTACTGGCACCTCCGCATGCCTGCCCAGGGAAGACCAGAGAGAAGGCCCTCCTTGCCTTGCAAAGTGTCCATTCTGGCCCTGAGCCTTGTCAGTGAAGAGGAAGTCTCCCAGGATATACCTCTTCTGCCTGTCATCCTGCTTGCCTCCTCAGCCTACTGGGCAGCATGTCCCCACCCCAAGCCTGCCCTGAGCTCTGCAATGCCCCCTTACTCCTGTACCCAGCCAAGCCTGAGCCAGCATCACCCCCATCCCTCCCTATACAAGTCCGTGTATGATGCACCCTCCCACACATGCATGTGCAGGCTGTCTCATCTTAGTTCCAGCCTCGTGTGTGTGTGTGTGTGTGTGTGTGTGTGTGTGTGTCTGTCTGTCTTGAACCCTCAACTAGACTGTGAGCCCCCTGAGGGCAAGGGTCTGAGTAACCTATTGAACCCCACGGAGTCTAGCCCAGGGCTGGTTTTGTAACATTCAGGAAATACTTGTTGGCCAGCTGATGAATTGCGTGTTGGAGGTTGTGGCGTGGCTGAGAATGGGTCAGGAAGTGGGGAGGCGTGAGGGAAAGCTCATGGGTGCATTTTGCTGGGTGAGGTGTAGCTGCCCTAGAGCCTGGGTGGGCACGGGAGCCTCAGGTTCCCCTGCTTGGGGAGGAGGAGCACGTGGCCCTGTGGCCGAGTAGGGAGATGGGAACCGACGCCTGCCGGAGCTGAACAAGCTAACTAAATGGCCTGTCCACATCCACCTTTAGACACAGCTGGGAGCAGGGTGGTGGCCACTGGCTCTGCCCCATCTTTTCCTGAGGAGTCATATTCAAAGTAACATGGTGGCAAAGACACTTTCCCCCACCTGGGTACTGATGGCTGTTTGGATTAGGAATAATGGATTTGGGGCTTCGCAAGTCACCCTGTAGCCCCAGTTACCCAGCCAGCCACAGTAAGGCCAGGCCTGCTGAGAACCTTCCCTGTGGGCCCATCAGTACCAGAGAGGGGGTGCTATGGAAGACTAGGTGTGTGCCTCTCTGGACTCCATGGGGGAAATAACACCTGTTGCTCTTGCCTCCTGGTGCTGCAAGGACCCAGTGAGCATCAGCATGAACTATGCAGACAGTGTAGGGCAGGGGTTACCATGACTCACCCTGCCCCTCTGGAAGGTGGCACTGGACAGCAGAGGGGAGCGTTGGGGACTGAGTCAGGCTGCTGCAGGGGGACTGTGGACCTGGCAAGTCCTTTCCTGTCTCTGAGCAGCCGTTTCCCCACTCGTGAGGGACTGGAGGATGATGGCCCCAGCTCCTTCCAGCACCTTCTTCGGTGCCTGACTTGGGTTTGGGGCTGGATAGTTGCCTCTGTCAGTGTGGCCCTTGGACCAGCAGCCTCGGCTACCCTGGGAGCTGGTCATAAGTGCAGAACCACAGCCTGCTCCAGGCTCTGGACCCCCGTGGTTTGTGTCTGTGTTAGAACTCCTGACCCACATGGTGAACTATCCCCCTCTCTGGGGAGGGCCTTTGGCTCAGGCCTTCCCCTGACCCTTGACCCCTGACTCCTGTGCCTAAGGGTGCTTCTCTTGGGTAAGCCTGCGGGTTGTGTGCCCAGAGTGCTGCCTCCACAGGGTCCAGGACGCCTCCCCATCACACCCAGGAATGTGTCACTCATCCAACTCAACACAGGGAGGAGGGAGGCCCAGGACAAGGGCCGTCCTGGGCCGGGAGCAGGGACTCCCTCAGAGCAGCTCTGTCCCACTGTTCCCTCTCCTGCCCTCCTTCCTGCCAACCTGTCACAGTGTCTCAGGGTCACCAACATCCTCCCCAGCCCCACAGCACTTCTAACAGTCTCAGGCTCACCTGAAGGACTCGTCGAAACCCAGGTAGCCCACGCTAGAGATCCAGGGTAGGGCCCCGAATATGCATTCTAATGAGCACCCAGGGCATTCTGACATGCTGGCTGGGGGTCATACTTTGAGAGCCCCTGACCACTTTCCTCACCTCCTAATGTGTGCCACCCAGATTTCTGCCCAGACAGAACCCTTCCCCAGTCCTCTGGCTGACAGGGCAGCCAGGGCCATCCCTGCCTTGGGGACTCACTCTGCCGTGGGAGCAGACAGGCCCGTCTCCAGCTGAGACCACACCCTCCCCTGCCCCTTCCTGCTTGCACCTCTCCCCTTCCCCAGAGAGCAGCCCCCTCCCCCCAGTCAGTCCCTTGAACAGGAACCCTCCTCAGGCTCTGCCTGTAGGGTGCCTGACTCAAGGCAATGTGTCTGATGAGCGTAGTGTCCCCATGAGGTTGTCACTGTCGTCCCCATCTCAGTGGTGCTGGTTACCCGAGAGGCCTTTGGTGAACAGCTGAGATTCTGATGGCTGGATGTGCGCACCTTCTCTGAGGAAGGCCAGGCTAGAGGCAGCCCTCACCTGGAACTTGGTGCGACCCTCTAGGGTCTAGTCGAGTCAAGGGCTAAGCTGTCATCTGACTGAGAGGCCT